AAGTATTAAGGATAGTTGTATAGAAAAGGGAAGAGAAAATGTAGAGGGCAAGGGAGAGCCATAATGACATGGGGAATGATAAGAAAAGGGAAGAGAAAATGTAGAGGGCAAGGGAGAGCCATAATGACATGGGGAATGATAAGAGAAGGGAAGAGGTGTAGGCAACATGAGCTGTCTGTCCTATTTATGAAAACAAAGTCTTTGTCCCCTTTGAGTGAAATAGGAAAAGAGACAGATGAAACAGAGGACAGAGAAAGACTTGACAGTTTGGTTCTAAGGTGAGTGTGTCAATCAGATTATATTTCATCTGGCATATTCTGCTACTTACTTGGACAGTGATGTCAGACTAAATTATTATTTATTATTTCTATCCCTTGACATTTTGATTAGCTCATCAGCAATCAGTCACTATTCACAGCTCTTCAATTGCTTTTATTAAATAGCAAACCCTTCCTCACTAAGTCAGCAAATTATTCAGGTTTGGGAGAGTCATGTCTCTTCAGAGAGTGTTTGCCCCAGGCCAGATGAGATGCAGTCATGCTGCTACAAGACTCCGCATGAATCATGGAACCTTAAGACAAACTTTAAGGATTGAATGGTTTCTAGGGAATTTAAGGGCATGCCAGTCACCATTGGATTAATTCAGGCTTTGATGAGTTTTGAGAGGGAGCATTGAGGAATTGGTTAAATTGTATACCATGCTATGCTAGCTAATTGTGTGACTGTCTTCTTAGTCTGGGCTCTGTAAACACAAGATTCATATTATTCTTTGCTTTTGTGTTTATGAATTAGAGCAAAACTCATATCCAGGTACAAATGTAGCATAGATTATCATGAACCCAATGAGTGCAGTGGAGTTCTTTCAGGATTTCTGAGGATGGTCCATTATCTTTGGAAGGAGTCCAAGAATCAGTCTATACAGGCTGACTTTATTTTTTTACATACTAGATTTAATCTTGAAAAGTAATGTATAGAGTAAATAGTTTCAAAAATTGAGTCATGTTTTCCCATCCTAAGGAAATTTGTTCTCATAGAAAAAAAATGGTGTGCTCCTTTTCTAATGAAAATTAAACTTATTAAAATACTACCTTTTTTTCCCCAGTGAGTATTCTGCATTTGTCAATGTACAGATTACAATAATTTTCTTTACAAGAAGTTAGCTAAGTGGATCCATGATCTTGGACACACAGTGAAAAATAGATATTTCAGTGTTACTGAGATTTCTCCCTCAAGGTGTGGGACTTGAATGTTTAAGCAGACACATTATCCGTGGTGTTGTGTCTTGCCTTTATTGACATTGTCTGGTGAGTAGAGCAGTAAAAAGTTGTCTTTTTATTTAGATTTATTGGACTGTGGTCTCCTGTGGTCTAAGTAGGACTTTAGAGGGATCAATATAAACTTAAAAAAATTGAATATGCTCAAAGCAATGCCAGCCTTAAAACAGAGCTATATCTGTGAGATGTGTTTAAACTATTTTACCCTGCCTCTATTTTTTAACAACTGAGGCACCAATCACATTTGTCTTTTGAATTTTGAAATTCTTGTCTGTAAAAGCCAAGTAGGCTGCACTTACACAGGACCTGGAAAGCATGAGCAATGATACGTTGGTTCACCTGGCAAGGATGTGCAGTGACATTAAATCTTATGGGTTAGTGAGGTTCTAAAAGCCAGAGTATAAGGCAAAAAATTCCGTAGACTTAAGTTACCCTAGTAAATCCTTTAAATTACCTATGAAGTACATTATGTGTAGTTTTGTGTGTATAACTGAACAATAATTCTTATGCACAGCATGGTCTGAGAACCACTGGGCTAGAATAAAGGAAGGAACAAAAGGGGTGCTGTCTGGACACCCAAGCCCTTCTTTCTTTATGGTAACTCCCCAATCCATGGAAAAGTGGAGGATTCTGAAGCGTGCCTGCTTGCCTGCTTGCCTGCAGGGTTTACTCCATTCTGCTGTTCGATGAAGCCTCTATAACCTTCAGACATGTTAACAGATCTCTTGGTTTTGTATGGATTGAACTAGACAGTCTACATGAAAGCACCTTGCTCACGACCAGGTGATGTGATGGATTTAAATGTTGCTTGTCAGGTCCATATATATACATTGTTTTTTGAAGAGTTGTAGAGAAGAATTTGGCCACTTGCTTCCTGTCTTTCTAGGTTGAGATTTCCCGCTGTACAGCAGTGACTTTCATGTTCTTGCAAATTGGCTGCACCTGTGGGCCAGTTGGGGATAAGAGAGAGTAAAGTTTTCAGTTATAAGGTTAGCCCTACGTTTGTCGCATTTGGTGTGACTTGGCTGAATACCCTATATGCCCTTGGGTTCTGTAGGTCTTCTGTTGGTCTTCTAGAGTTCGCGTTTGTGTGTGAGAATCACCTGATGAAACTGTGTAACCCACCTACCTAGATTCTCCATGGTGGAGTCATGAATATGTGTTCTAAATTTTTTTATTTTGTAGTTTTTGGGGTGTGTGAGAATATGTATTTTTAGAGAGCTGCCCAGGTGATTCTTATGTAACTAGCATGTTGCCTTTGGAACCCAGCAATTAGGAAAACCCTTGGAGGTGGGATATTTTGCCACAAGAGGCCATGAACATTTCTGATCCATTTTAGCTTAAATTATTTAGGAAATGACTACTGTATTCTTCATCTAGATTTAAAAGGACATAACTTCAGTTCTTAGGTGAATCAACCATTTATTAGGTGAATCAGCCATAAGATTGGTCTTTTAGTAGATATAAAATTAGTATACTTAGGTTTACAGAATTTAAAAATTCAATACCAACCAACTCATTTATTCACTTGGGGTGCTAAGGCCTTTGATTTCCACTCCCAGGTATCACTGAAATGATCACCTGAGGTTTTGTTCGATTGTTTATTTTTAGTAACTTGGGTTTTGAGTTGTATCCTTTTTTTCATTTTGGAAGGGGACTTGGTATTTCTCATAATTTAGTTTAAGTTTAGAATTTTACTCAGAATTCAGTTTGAGAAGGAAATAACCATTTCACCTCTGATTTACTAGGGTGAGGAGCTCTTTCAACATTAGGTGTCCTGTACCCCAACAAATGTTTCTCTCTTCACTTGTCCTTACTCTCTGATTCATGAAGTATTTTCTTTATATGCTTGTATAAAGCATATATGCTTTGTATATGCTGTACAATATACAAATACATGTATATTGTATGTTTCTGCTTGGCCCCACCCATTCTAGTTTTTCTGGGATTGTGTCTCATCATTTATGTTCCTTTTCATTACACCTAGTCTCTTTCTCTCTCCTTATGTGTTTTCCTCAGCTTATAAACAAAATTTGTTTCCCTACACTAAAATAAACAATCTTTGTCTCTACCTTGCTGCTCCTCAGTCTGCCATATCATCTTATCTCTTTGCTTCCCTATTCTGGCCAGTGTTCTTAAAAGATTAACTCTGTTTGTTGCATCTACGTCTTGGCCTTTTGCTGTCTGGCTTCTACTCTTACCACTTTATTGGAACTCCACTTTCAAGGAGTCACCAATAACTTCTCCCCTTTCACATCTAGCAATCTTTTCTAAGCTCTCATCCTCTTTGACCTTTTTGCAGTAAGTGAGGATGTTGATCACACTCTCCTTTTTGACAACTCTTCCGTTGACATATGTATATGACACTTCAGGCTCAGTTGTCCAACCTCTCTGACCGCCTTGTCTCTTATTTCTTTGCTGAATTATCCTCTGTTTTTTGCTATGTAAATGTATTTATTAACATGTTCTTCTGCCTTTGTTGTCCCTCCCACTTTTCGTGCCTTCCTTCTTGCTATATATTTCAACCCCAGAAGTTAGGACAAAACTACGGGGTACACCCTGGGGGATTTGGGAACTGAGCTGAACTCAAAGGGAACATATCTGAGATGGCTAGAGGAAGGGAGAATGAGATGGTGACCCAATGTTGTAGTTAGGAAAATGGTACCCAAATATCAAGTCTGGAAGATAAGGATGAAAAATGGGAGAGTAAGCAGTAAGATTGGTAGTTTGGATGATTGGAAATAGTATAGGCAAATAGGTTAAGAACGTGAATGTGTATCTTCTCCAGATCATTTTGTACCTGACAGTCTAATGCGTGTTACCTGAGAGCATGATCTCTTTAAGGAATTGCACTGGGGCTTTGGCTTCAATAATCATTTCTCTGGTGATGAACTTCAAATCTGCATCCAAAGCTTGCCTTTGATTCTCCTGTGAACCAGAGCTCTATTTCCATCTTCTTCTTAGGTGGTTTCACCTGGATATCCAACTGGTACCCTCACATTTAACATATCCCCAAATACATTTGTCATCTTTCTACTGAAATGGACTCTTTTTTGGCATTCCTAATATATCACTGTTCTGCGTCATCCTGGATCAAAACTTCAAAGCCATTATTCTTTTTTAGCCCACATCCAGCAATTTGAGAAGTACTGTCAATATTCTCTCCCATGATGTCTTGTAACTGGCCCCACCTTTACTCTTCCTTTCTTCAACCCCTGATTATGGGCTGACTGCTACTCTACACTCCAGAGATAACCCCCTATTTAGTATCCACTGACCCTGATTCTGTTCATTGCTGCCAGTGTAATGTTTCCAAAACTCAACTGTAAATTTCAAAGACGTTTTAAACTTATCACAACATTCCTAGCCAGGGAAAATTGCTTCCCCTCTCAGTGCTATTGTAGCAGCTATGCTTTCTACCACTGTGTGTATATGTGTAATTGCTATGCGTATACACTATATTATAATATTACATATACATTTTGGTACATGAATTATCAATCCCTATAGATTGTAAGCTCCTTGGAGGGCAGGAACTGTGTCTTTACTTTGTATCCCCATATATTCCTTGTATTGACATGCAACAGATATTTATTGAATGGAATTAAACAGCTCACTGGGGCTGGAAGGAATCTGATACCAGTTAATATGTAGTAGGTGATTTGTGATAGTCATTTTAATTTGACATTAATTTCATTTTTTGTGCATTTGTTTTATTCTGAAAAGCTTTTTTACTAAGCTGTGCTGATGGCATAAGTGGAACAGTTAACTGGAAGACCAAACAGGCCAACAATTTTATTATCAGCAGAAAAATGACTGCTGGGAAGAAAGATGGTGAGTTTAGGTTGTAAATCTAAATCCTTTTGGGGAGTCAATTAAATGTCCGCTTCCAATAGTCCTTTTGCTTTTTTAGTCATGTGTGGACTTTTTTTTTTTTTGATAAGTCAGTCTGAAAAAAATCAAATTTTGTTTTCCTAATCTTCTAAAGCTTCTGATCCTCTGTGTTCTTAATCCATTATTCTCCAAGTTTTTTTCCTTTGCTGTAGTTTTCCCTTTTTTTTAACCAAAAATAATTCTTGTTTTTAACCTATTGTTGCCCCTTATCCGGTCACTAGCTTGCCACTTATGAAAATTGTCCCAGTGTGGTTATTATAACAATTTACTTATAACATTGAAAAACATTAAGAAGTACATTTAACATAAATCATTTAAAAACAGTATTTACATAACCTTAGAAAAATGGTCATAAAATATTTTGGCTAGTTGTGGATGATTTTTTGAATGATTTTTGTTGCAAAACCAGATTGGTATGTTTGCTATTAACTAATTAGATGGCATTTGTTTTCTATGGAAAAGATAGCCTGACCCTTGAATGATTGATTGTCCTTCTAAATTTTTCTTCCCTATCTTTAATGTGTTCATTAGCAATATGTCAGGACCTTTGAAATAATGCATTTCATCAGGGAGAAAAAGACTTACTTAATAACCAAAAGATTAGTTGTTTTAAAAATATCAATTATCAGTATGAGCTTTCACTTAATATTTCTGGATTACTTGTCTTTATAATCCCTCTTAACCGTACCCTCCCCCCCACCCCTACACACAATTTGGGCTATATGTGGTCATGAACAGAACAGTAGCAGAACAGTAGCCTAGTCTCCATAACTTTGGGGTAACCAGAATATCTATTAAAAAAAACAACAGTTTTAAAATATTTTGAAAAGAGCAGTAATTTTATGTGATAAAATGGCCTTACTGCCATATAAAACTTTCTAGGTATCTTGTAGGAGTGATTCCTGGCTTACCTCATTTTCTTCTTACATTTCTGAGTTGGGGGTCACTGACTTTTTTCCAGCTAGCATCAAATTATTCCTCAGCTAGAATCTTCTGCTCCCAGATCTGTTTCACAGTAGGACCAAGGCTCCCAGCATCTCTTCTACTCTGCTGTCTTTGAAACAAACCCACAAACACCTTTGCATTGTTAAGGAATTTTCATCTCTAATATAAAAGAAAAGAGTTTTATAACAGTAAACTCTCATGAAAAGTTCACAAAAAGTTGTTTTCAAAAGCACTAGACTCACTTGTTCTAGGATCTAAGCGCATCATCCCACAGTCCTTTCCCCACACCCTCCTTGGATATTCTCAAGGGATTTTCTCTGTTTCCTTCAAGGGAATCACCCCCGACTACCTTATCTGGGCTGCTCCTTAATCAGGCTGAGGGCCTTCGGCTTCTTCGGCACATCCACTATTCCTGTTTTCTTTTTATTTTATTTTATTTATTTTTGGTTGCGTTGGGTCTTCGTTGCTGCGCACGGGCTCTCTCTAGTTGCGGCGAGCGGGGCTACTCTTCATTGCAGCGCAAGGGCTTCTCATTGTGGTGGCTTCTCTTGTTGCTGAGCCCGGGCTCTAGGCACATGGGCTTCAGTAGCCGTGGCATGCGGCCTCAGTAGTTGTGGCTCGCAGGCTCTAGAGCGCAGGCTCAGTAGTTGTGGCCACGGGCTTAGTTGCTCCATGGCATGTGGTATCTTCCCGGACCAGGGCTCAAACCCGTGTCCCCTGCACTGGCAGGCGGATTCTTAACCACTGCACCACCAGGGAAGCCCCTTCCCGTTTTCTAATCTTACCAATTATGGCCCCAGATGGCCCTCAGTATTGCCATCTGCAGTTTACTTCTGTCATCTCCCAGGGATTTGGGACCTGCCGTGATTCCTGCTGCCTCACACGAGATCACTAAAGACCCTTCCTCTGGACTTCACACTATTTTGCACTAAATTGCAGTCTTTCCCTTTTCTTCAGTTTCTTCTTTTTAACGTTGATCCCTAGAATTTCTGTCCTCTTTAAGCGTGTCCCTCCATTCCTATTTGATTTTGCATAAAGGTACTCTCTAACCGGCTGTCAGGCGCAGCTATGGTGCTCTTCTTAGTGAAATGTATTCCAAGGTCTTTACCATAGCATTCTCTAGAATCTCCATCTCTTCCTTTTTCAAATTTCATGCTCCCTCTGGACCTCAAACTGATTTTCTCCTTGGAACCTGAGCCATAACTGTAGTTCTCAAAATCGAAATGATCAATATATCTTGAGGTAACCAGTTCAGATTATCGCATTCTCTTATTTCCTCAGTTTCTCTTGAACTCATTCTTTTGCTTCTACCTTCCTGGTCTCCTCCTCTAATTTAAATCCTATCATTATAGTTCTGCATTATTAAAATATCTTACACAGAGAGTAATGAGTTTACTTTAGTGGGTTGTAGTAATGTAATGGACAGCCACCAAATGTATTACCTCATGTTAGCAAATCAACAAAATACGTAACTACCCTGGGTTCAAGTCCTGGCTCTTCCTCTTCCTAGTCCTGTAAGCTTGAACCTGTCATTCAGCCTCTCTGGGTTCAGTTTTGTTAACTATAAAATGAAGGACTGAACTTGATTTTTTGCATGCAAACTCCGATTGATGTTATCTGTCAGGAATCCTGGATTGAGTAGAATGCTGAGGCCATATCCAAGCAGGAAGTAATGCAATGATTTGTCTCTTAGTAGAGAAAGTTATTTGGCACGCCCTGCCAGGATGACATCTAAAGCCCCTTTCAACTGCAGTGTTCTATGAGACCAAGTTTATTGATTACCAATTGAAAATGGTTTGCAACCACTTTCCAGCCGACATTTATGAAAAAAACAACAAAACAAAACAAACACACGATCATTCTATGGAAAAATCAGGATATTTAACTCTAGTATAGAAAAATGGTTTTCGTAAGTGGCTTTGGTTGGGGGGAGGGGAATCTCACAAAGTAACCTTTCTGCTTCTTGTAGAAAAAGATCCAAGTAGTGGTTTCTTTTCTACCTCATGTAGAGAAAAGTGGCCTCTTAGAGGAGTGAAGTTTTAAAAGGCAATTTAATACCTTCCCCATGATGAGCTCTACAGCCCAGGTGTGGACTATCTGTGACTGAAATAAAACAATAGCTGACCACTGCCCAATGAATGGCCTTCAGTACTTTGATGTTGAGTAAACTTAAGGGGTGAAGGGTAGACTGCCGAGAAAAGCTTTTGACTCTAAGCCAAGATTTATAAAGCTGGATTGATAAAACACAGGGTAAATTTTAAAGAGGAAAATACAAAAACAAAACAGGTTGTGTACCTGGCTGCATATTGATGCCTTTCAAACTATTTTTCTACAGACATTATCTGGTCTAGTAATTAAATTTCAATTAGACTATAGAAATAACACATTGAAAAATAAATTAGGAAGGAAACCATAAATATATCAAGCTCTGAAAACCCTGAAATGAGTTCTCTTGGTGCAGATATCAAGTGGAATTCATCTCTTATAATCAATTCCCATTAATTGGTAGCAGCTTCTTGGAGTGCTGTGTATACAGGGGCCCTGAGCGTCATAAAGAGCTTTTAGCTGTTAAAACTATAAAAGAGAAGTCAAGTCTTATTTTTTTCCGTCCGTACTTACAGTTTCTAATTATCAGAGATGATCATATAGTAAAATAAGTTTTCAGCAATTGTATTTTTGTGTAACTTTCTTTTTAATAATACTCCAATTCTTTAGCAGAGACGTGGTGTCTCTTCTGTAAATAGGATTTTAAGGAATTGGGATACCTAGTTGCTTAGGCAAAAGTTTATTTTAAAAGCTGTACCGGATAAGTGGCTATTCAGTATTATCTTTGTATTTTAAACATATTTAAAAGTCTTCTTCATCATTCTTATCCAAATTTTTTTCAAATAATACTTACTATTAAGGCAATACTATGAACAGTTGGAAAATATGCACTGTCTTATTTAACTAATTTGCACTCAGTTAAAGCACCCTTGTCATGTTTCCCAATGAGTAGCTTACGTCTTAAAACTCTCTGAACACGAGAGACAGATTAACAAAATTGAAATGCTTTTGGAAATGGGCTTCAGCTTCTTATTAATAAATTACTTATTTTAGTGTGTTATGTTCTTAGGCTGATTTAGCTATTGCTAAGGTTAATAGATCACTTAATCAATAGATCTCTTCGTTTAAATTATGCAGTATATTTCCCACACATCAAATATGTAAGAAATTATTTTATACAGCACATTAAATCCCCTCCTTTTGATTTGGCAGTTTGTTTACGTAACATATGGGTTGAATTAAGACTTTCTGTGGTACACTTATTTATTTCTGAATGCATTTAATACATAGAGTTTATGTTGCCACCTCCTCAAGTAATGGCTGTCTCCCAGTTATAGTAAGACTTTCAGAAGTATACTGTGTCAACTAAGAATCAGGAACTACACCACAAAAGGGTCTCTGGGTAGCAAAAATAGATGCAGCAAACGCAGGCTCCTGTTTTTCACACCTGGCAGAGCCCTGCGTGCGTTAAGACAGTACAAATTTGTTCTTACTTTAACATGCAGTCCCACCTCACTTGGTAGCCTGGTTTCTAAACCTGCAGCGGATTAATAGCAGCAAATTAGAAGGGATAGAGGAGCTGTTACAGGAAACATGGATAACAATGAGAAGTGACGGCTGACAACATGTCTACAGATGAGAAAACAGAAAATCTGTAAAACACACAACCATAAAAAGCATTAGCAGACGGTGACCCGCTAGTGCTACTGGGATCGGTAAATGACAAGGCAACCAAACAGTTCATAAGGGCATGACTGTATTATAGAGGGAAGTGCAATAATTGATATGCCAAATGATGATCTTATGCCATAATGAAGAAGGATCAACCGCTGAGTACTTTAGAAAACTCAGCTCTCTAAAATGTTTCCTTCGTTGGGGTTCCTGCTAAACTGAGATTTTACTGTATTCTCTCAAACTGCAAAAATTAGAAAATGATGATGTAAGTGGACCTTTTAAAGTGATTAATTTGTTGATAAAGCATCTGTGAGAGAGAGATCACCTTGACGTGAATACTGAATCCTTTATGACTTCAGAGGAGAGACTTTAAGACTTAAATCTAGCTGAGACTTGTAGGGTGTCACACTCAGCAGCCAGTTTAGAGTCATGTCCTTGTTCTTGATGCAGAAAAAGGGCTGATAGGGGTTCTCCGGACTCTTTTTGTAGAGAGTGGACTTTGTATGTGCTTGTGCACGTGCATATGCCATTAAAAAAATCATTGTGATAAGTGTGAAGTGTTATGCTCTAGATTCGTTAGCAATGCACCACCAAACCCTTTCAAAATTTGATGTTTACTAAACACGTACAGATTTGCTTTTGTTTTTAAGTAATTGTAAGTAAGCACACAAATGTGCACCCTCATATTTTCATCTCAGTGTTGCTCCCATAGGGAGAGAATTCCAAATGGACTATTAATAAAGGAAGACAGGATGCTATTTAGCTAGCATGAGGTCCCACTTTATTGCTACCGCCATCACCGTCTGTTACTTGGTTCTTGGCTCTCTGCTGTCCCATAAGATACATTTTCGAAAATGGTTTGTAGTTTCTATGCCTTATGATTAAAACATACAGGGAACAGTTTTACAGAAAGATTTTGGTAGCATGTTAACAAGGAATATTGGACCTGCATTTAGGGAGGGTGAAATATAACCCCGCCACTTGCCCACATATCCTTTTGCTCTTTTCAACTCAGATATGTAATTTTTCCTGTAAAAAATGCCGTTATTTATGACTACCTGTCTTCAGTTTTTAATCTTTGCAAATCTAGCTACCCTTGTGGTTTGAAGATGATGTTTTTGACCCCCCCGTGGGTTGGACTTTTGGTTTAATTGTTTTGCCCATTAATGGTGATGGATTTGCACGGATTTAGCCACAGACTGGTTTCTAGTTTCATTTGTATCCAGTGGCATGTGTTTGCAGAGGTAATGGATTTGCAGCCCTACACGATTGGAGAGCCATGCAATACACAGAGCAGCCAGACCCTGTGACCTCAGCTTGATTAGCAAGGCACTGTATGCTTGTATATTTCAGAGACTGTTCAGAGGTTTTTTTTCAGAGATGTGTATTTCAGAGATTGTTAAAGTGTTTCAATTTCATTTTCAAGACTTTCTTTTAGGGAAAACAATATGCCTCAAGCTTGCTGTTTGTGAGTACTACCTAGACATACGTGAGTGCAACATGTGTTCACTGTTAAGTAACAGACTTTTTTGGTGTTAGTGCAAACCCTATCAGTATTGTTTATATCGCTCATGTTTAGAACAAGAGCCCATAAGTCTGAATTCTCTGTGTCACTTTGTTGCTTTTGAAAGGAAGCTAGGTGTAAATACTGCCCAAATAGCCTCTGTTGAAGAGCTATTTGTTTTTGCAAGTAACAAATGGGAAAGGTAAGGTAAAGGGCACTTCTCTAAAATGTTCTGTGGGTGCCCATAATTTAAACTGATGCTACAGAAAGGAAGTCTTATTTTCACAAACAAAACATAGTGGCTTAGTCATTTTCCATTTCTAGATGATGAGTGTGTCATACATCTGTATCATGTTTTTCTCAAAGTGAATGGCATACTATACTTACAGTGAAGCAGGCTTTACTGCAGAGTTGCCAAGGTAACTGACCAGCAAGTATGCAGTTCAGCAGATTGCAGAAAGGCAGTTTTACACATGAATAAAGAAATGTGCATGTAATCTTAAAACCCAGGGGGGCCATGGTAGATTGTGGTTTGGCTCTGTAGATTGTAGAAATGTTGTTTGTTGTTTTGTTTGTTTTGTTTTATGAAAGCAGAAAGTGAGATGTTCTACACTAGTCCTTGAAGTGAGGTAATAAACAGTGACAAGTACCCTTTTATGGTTCTATTTTAGGCCCTGCCATGGGCCATATAGAAAATAGGACCATTTCAATATTATTAATATGAACAACTTTTCTTTTTGATTTATAAGCTAGCTTTTACCACCTTATGTCAGCAAAAACTACGGGAGACTGTTAGTAGTTTATAATGTAAATGGAGGATGGTAACCCATAAACTGCTACACACATATGAGAATTAATTTAGGTTACAAAACTGAAAATGAAGTTAAGTATTATATATATTTAGAACACAAACGTAAGAACTGTGTTTCCCTCTACAGTGCTTTGTATTAGAATGTATTCATCCATTTATAAAATTATTCAGGTATGCCAGACACCTTCTAGGTGCCGAGAAAATAACAAAGGTAAATAAAGTTCAGTGCTGGACTTCAAGGTGTTTTTAATCTCTAGAAAGAATAAATTGGATAAGCTCCAAAGAGATTCCTTTGAATTATGCAAAACATTCCTGTGCCTTGGATGTAGGATTGTGATCTAGAATTTAAACACCTTTCTGTATAGAATGAAATAACTTCTCACCAGGAGTTCACAGCTCTCCATAATTTGACTCATCTTCCCAGTTTTCCTCCCCCCACCAGGATCTAGCGTTACTGGCTTAATTCCATTTCTTGAAAGGGCCCTGCAGTATCCCACTTTTGTGTCTTGCACATTTCAACGCTGAAATTGCCCATCTCTGAGTTTCGGAATCTTGCTAGCACTTTAAAAGCCATATTGAATTCTACTTCTTATATAAACCTTTCCCAGGTCTTTCCAGCTTCCATTGCTCTTCACCATCTTTCCAGGTCTTGCCAGAGCAGTTTGTCTCTCTGGGGTCATACCTAGTTAGGGGAGTGTTGGTCTCCCAAACCAGATGGTGAGCTCGTGAAAGGCAGGGACTGGGTCTCCTTCATCTTCACATTCTCCACAGCACCAAGCATTCAGCGGATGCCATGGAATCCAGCTGGTGAAAAATCTCTAATTCTCATCCTTACTATTTTTCTGTGATTCACTTATTCTTGTTTTTTTGGAACGGGACCATTTTCACAGGTGAGTAAATTGCTCTTGGGTAGAGAATGGGTATTCTAAATGCCATGGGAATGCTTACCAGTGCTAGTACAAAACAAGTCAGGAAAGAACGAGTCTCCCTATTACCTAATTTAAACCTAACTTGCCGCTTCCTTCCTTCTGTTACCACAGCCTTTGAAGTTGTGTTTTTAGTAGTAAAGCTATGGATACATGAAGCTACAAGCCAAATATTTTAGTTCAGTTCCCCATTTTTGGCAGTCATCCACAGAACTGTAGGGGCAAGTTTTCACAGATAAAGAAACATTTTTGTGGGAGTTCCTATTTTTATGCTCAAAAATTCACTGTCAGTGATTTTGCCATCCAAGGGCTTTTAGTTAGTTGTGAGCCCGGGAGTGAGCAGCCTTGAGTTCTTAAGGTTAATTACTACATTTACAAATCCATCAGTGACTAAGAGAAAGAACTTGCCTGATAGGGTTTATCTGTTTAAAAATTGCAGCCAGTAGCCAAACAGGAAGATAGAAAATCAAAAGAGATTGTAGAGGTGACAAGGGTAATGGCAGTATTGTGTTGGTGGAGATGATGATATCAGAGGAAAAAAAGGATAAGTTGAAACTAATCAAACCAATTTGGTCATTTTAATGTACTCACATCATGTATCTTAAGTAACCAGTAAATCATGAAATCTGCCCCATTTCACTTAAAGAAATGATTTGCACTGAATTTTGTGATGTAATTGTTATTGCTTATTTAGGAGGTAGCATAATAGACTAGATTCTGTGTGTGAATTATTAAATCGAGATAATTAAGTCGAGATCAGGTAAAGAGGAATAAATCATTTCCAGGAAAGATGGGGGAATAATACTCAAAGAAAGAGTATCCAATGCATTTTTATAAGTATCAATATGTATGAAAGTCACCTTACATATATCAATGGTATTATGTAGTCCGATATGCTCTGTCTGGCAAACAGTTAATACGGTGGAGATTGTTACCATTTAAAAAAAATGACTCTTTATACTTTGCTTTGAAAAAAGAAAAAATATACTGTAGCAATTATATAGCTGATCAGTTCTCATGATGTATTTTGTTGGTAATAATCTCCATAAAAATTACAAAAGGGATTTCATGGATGTCTTTATTATTTAATAATAATTTAAAATATTAAATATGCCTAATTCTGCTTACATAATATTTGAAAAGTCTATAAACACAGCAAGTTGAGAGTTATTCCATGCTTTGTCCTAAAACCACTCCCCTTTAAAACAAACTTCTTAACAATCTTGCATGTTGCTTCAGTTTTCTCAGAAATTTCTACATAGTGAAACCCTTCTTTACAGTGTAAGTGAATTTTCAAAAGCAGAGCTCATTATTTGTCTTTCTGTCTCTTATCTTCCCTCTGTTTTCAGTGTACACTATTTTCTCCAAGGTGCACTCTGATCGGAATGTCTACCCATCTGCAGGTGTCCTCTTTGTACATGTTTTGGAAAGAGAGTATTTTAAGGGGGAATTTCCACCTTACCCAAAACCTGGTATGTTCTGGCGGGAAAAAAAGTGGTTAATTTACTAAATTTTTCTTTTTGTTCAGTGTGCATAATCTAGATGATATATGATCAAATATTACTGACATTGCTTGACATGGTCTGGATATGTGATAAATTGATTGTTATAGAATATTTCCCATTTTAAGATTAGAAATTTAATTACCGAAGGAAGTAACTCATTTTTGAAATTTAAAGAAAGTGTATTTCTGATTTCCTAGTCTTGAGTTTTGTGCTTCTGACAGATGATCTACCTATATTCTCAGAGAAATAATTATAGATTTACAATTTTACACATTAAGACTTAAGAATCTTACAGAGTACATTGATTTTTGGAAAACTATACATATGTTGTAGAAGAGATTGAAATATGATATTAAGAAAGAGTTCTCAAAAAAACTTTTACAGTATGAGATAATTTTATATAACTTCATAATCATATAATGGAGATTAATTTTTCTTCAAAGTAATACCAGTTACGAAGTCCTATTTAATTTACTATCGGTTTAAATTATGTTATGTTGGATTGTCACAAATGCCATCAAATTAACAAAGAAAGAATAGCAAGAGAAAATACATTGTTATTATGACTCTTACTTAACAAATAAAAATGAATTTCTGAAAATTCCAGCATTAGAATTAATATAAATATTATTTTTGTGGATTATATGATGAATAGCATACCTGAAAACACTCGTAAAATATAGTTAAGCATGTTCTCACCAGCATTCAAGAAACAAGGCAGTCTTTTCATCAATTACTTAAAAAATGTGTTCTCGTGAGGGGCATTTTCTTTTTGCAGAACTATATAGCTAAACCTTGTGAGCAGCAGCTTCAACACTGGAGAAGAAAATGTAGTTAAGAGCATATTTCTGGAGTCAGCCAAGATTAAATTCTAGTTTCAGGGGCTTCCCTGGTGGCGCAGTGGTTGAGAGTCCGCCTGCCGATGCAGGGGACACGGGTTCGTGCCCCGGTCCGGGAAGATCCCACATGCCGCAGAGCGGCTGGGCCGGTGAGCCATGGCCGCTGAGCCTGCGCGTCCGGAGCCTGTGCTCCGCAACGGGAGAGGCCACAACAGTGAGAGGCCCGCGTACTGCAAGAAAAAAAAAAAAATTCTAGTTTCACCACTTAATATGACCATGAAGAATTAACATGGAAAATTACGTATTTCATCAATAAAATTAGGGCTAATAAGCGTACTACTTTCATTGGTATGTTTGAAAATCAGATGAAATAGTGCCTGTAGAGGCCAGGCACATGCTAATAAAATGACACCATTATTATTTATTATTAATAAATGTCATGTTATTGCAGTTCTTTTGGACTTGGATTTTTTCAACTCATCCTCCACTGTTTTTAAATTACATTATTTTTGTTTTGATGACACTTTTATAATTTTGAGATATCCCTTAAGATGAGTTTGATAGTGCTCAGAGTTTCATGAAAGGAAGGTTTCTCAGAAGAATGAATACATCAACATGATTAGGGGATTTTCCTGAAAGATAGTTGTCTCATTGGTAGAACTTTTCCACTGCTATGTGACCTCCTCCCCCCAAAAAAGAAAAGGAAATGTACCCCCAAATTGTATGAATATGCTTTCTTTGTTGAATCAGATTTCTAGACTAACTAAACAACCAAAAGGATATTTTTCTTACATGAGGCCCTAATCTAAATTCCCAGATGGATTTTTTTTGGGTGTGTATTTAATTTGCTACAAATGTTAAGAAAAAAAATTTTAGACAGACATATATTTATTGAAACAATCAAAGCAACATGTGAAAATAACTGTCTTATATCTTACTTCTGTGTTTCTTACCTAGGCGAGATTAGTAATGATCCCATAACATTTAACACAAATTTAATGGGTTACCCAGACCGGCCTGGATGGCTTCGGTATATCCAAAGGACACCATATAGTGATGGAGTCCTATATGGGTCTCCAACGGCTGAAAATGTGGGGAAACCAACAGTCATTGAGGTAATTTACTTAGAAAGAGCAAAATTATATTCTTGATTTTTTTGTAATTTGAATTTCAAATGTTGTGATTAAAATTACATGGCAGTGGTTTTCAGTATTTTATGCATGAAAACACACTAGATAACATTTGGAAGTGTACCATTCCTTTCTGTTCATCTACAGAGTTTCTTGTTTCAGCTTTTATGTAAAAAAGCGTCGTCTAAATTAGTGAAAAAAATTAAAAGGTATTTAAAAGAAATAAATTACTGTGAATTCTATTTAATAAAATGAACAAAAACTTAAAACACTTATTTTCTCCAAATTTTAATTTCAGATTTCATGTTCATTCAGTCATTAAGGAGACGTCTTTTGAGCCCCTACCATGTGCTGAACATGATAGGTGTCGGTGGTAGAAAGATGAATAGTAGCTGTGCTCTGCCGTGTCTTACAGTTCAGGGGTTGAAGCACTGAATGGAAACCCAAACTTAGCCAGCACTGACATAACTGTTATAATAAGAAGGGGCTGTTTGATGCAGAGTTATAAGAGGGTAAATAGAAATTCACTAAGTAGAAGGAAGGCTATTTTAGGCAGAAGATGCAGCACATCAAAATCTTGGAGGCATAAACATAACCACATAGTCTTAGAGAACTTACAAGTGTGGCTAGAGGACAGGATGCACTCCAGAGGGCAAATGATGGGAACGGAGGTGTTGATGTTGGTAGGAGCAGATCTTTGAGGGCTCTGTAAGCCATGCGGATATGTTTGACCTTTACTTTGGGAGTGATGATGGTGCTATAATTAATCAGATTTTTACCAGTACCTAATATCATACCTGGAAGATATTAGAAATTGAAACAAAAACAATGACATCAAACCTTTAATGGGAATTAATTTTTTTTTCATGAATGGATGTAAAAGCTAAAGGTGTTTCACTCTTTACTATACCTAACAAAATCAGAATTATAATGGCCATTAACGGCAGGAGAGGCCTACTATAGTTTTATGCCTAGATGCCTCTAGGATCTTAAACTGGAATTTAACTCTTCAATTCCATAAAAGCTTACTGGTAGTGACCAGGGCACCAGCATAGGAACTGCTAGTGGAATTGCCAGGAGTTTGCATATGTCCTGCGTGGCATGTTTTCTACCACCAGAAATTTCTGTAGATTCTCAGGAGATTACATGCTTTGAGGTTTTCTCCAAAGTTTTAATCAGCCGTGGACTCTGGATATGAGCTTCCATGCTGGCTGAGAGAAGGTGTTTCTTCATTTGAACTGAAGTTTGTATTAACATGACATTTCAGTGATTTCTATCTATAAATCTGCTTTCTTAAGGCAACGTTGATATAAGATAGAAATATATGTAGATGTAAGAAAGAAAGTTATTTGGAGTTATTGTCAAAATAATTTTTAAAATATTCAGTAAAGTTACAAAAGAAATATATAAATGTAAGTCACCACCTTGCTAGATTAAAAAAGAAAAACACAATCACCTTGAAGATTCAGAGAAAGCATTTAATAAAATTCAACACCTATTCTTGATAAGAAAAAAATAACTCTTAGCAAACTAGGAATATAAGTGAACTTCCTTAACCTAATAGGTTATTTATCAAAAATAATAGCAAACATAATTTTTTAATGGGAAAACACTAGAGGAATGCCATTTAAATTCAGGAACAAAACAAGAATGACCCCCTGTATCACATCTATTACAGAATATATTAGAAGTCCTATCCAGTGCAGTAAAGAAAGAAAAAGGAATTTATAACTATTTGAAAGGAAGAAATGGAATAGTCAATGATATAAAGAGTCTATGGGCTATTAAAATCTTCAGAAAGCCTAGCAGTAAGCTATGGGATCAATATAAAAAATTTAGTTATATTTATTCATTAAGTACAAGTACTGAGAAAAATACATGTTTTTAAAAGATACTATTTTTTTTAGTAGCAGCAATATTATAATGTACTTGGAATAAATCTAACAGAAGGTATGCAAGTTCTGTATGGGAAAAATTATAAAACTTTGTTGATATTAAAGAATGCGTATATAAATGAAAAGATAGTTCATTCAGGGATAGGAGGACTGAAAATCATGAAAGCATCACTTTCCCCCTAATTGATCTATAGATTCAATGCAGTTCCAATAAAAAAATCTCAGTAGGTTATTTCACGGAACTTGGCAACTAATTCTAAAATTTATAAAGAAGATAATAAAGCAAAATCAAGACATGCTTAAAGAAGAATAAAAAGGGGAAAGATTTCTTTCCTTTCCAGATAGCAAGATTTATTGTAAATATGTAGTAATCAATCATAAGTTTGTATTGATACAGGGATAGACAAATTAACCAATGAATAAAATAGGGAGCCCAGAGACAGATCCATCTACATAAAGAACAATGATATATGTCTAAAGAGATGCTGCCAGAGATCACAGATTAGGGAAAAGGAGGTCAATTTATTGACTGGTGCTCAGCATATGGCAAACATAAAATTAGATTCTTACTTCACAGGAAATACAAAACTCATGTCTAGGTAGATTAAGGATTTAGCAAAAGTTTAAACTATTATATAAAACTGTCGAGGAGTATCTTTCTGAGTTTGGGGGAGGGAAAGATATCTTAAATAACACCCAAATTTTTTTATTTAAGAGAAAAGATTGATAAATTTTACCATATTAAACTTGTGAACTTCTGTTCATCAAAAGAAAACATTAAAGAAAAGACAACCCACAAGCTGGAAGATGATATTTTAAATATATATAGCTGACTAATGAGATAAGTATGTAAAATATAAAAAAGGACTCCTACAATTTCAATAAGAAAAAGACATGAACAGACATTTCACCAAAGAGGAGACATCAATGCCATTTAAGTAAAGAAACTTACTCTCCTCAGTAAGGAGGAATATTCAGTTTAGAACCTCAGTGAGAATTTTATCCTCAGTAAAGGTCATTGCAGTGGATATGGGCTGGAAAACGGAATATTTCACATAGCTGAGTATCACTATACCCTATGATCTAGCAGTCCCACTTCCAGATATGCACTTAAACAATTGCAGGGAATTCCCTTACGGTCCAGTGGTTAAGACTTGGTGCTTTCACTGCTGTGGCCTGGGTTCAGTCTCTGGTCGGGGAACTAGGATCCTGCAAGCCACACAGCATGGCCAAAAAAAAAGAAAAAGAAAAAAAAAAGAAACACTTGCAAATGTCCACCCAAAGGCATGCACAGTCATATTCACTGAGCAATGTGTGTATAGGAAAACACTGGAAACCCACAAACCAGTTGAGATCCAGAAGTCCAGCAGCAAGAGAATAGATAAATTGTGGGGTATTCGCAGAGTGAACATTTATAGCAGCAATGAACTTAAGCTTGCCTGGCAACATGAATGAATGTTTTTAACGTAATGTTGAAAAAAACCAAACAAACCCCAGAAGACTGCATACAGTTTACTATTTTTATAGGCGCTCAAAACCCAGAAAAATGGACAATATATTTTAAGCATACATGCATGGATAATAAAACTATATTTAAAATGGATGGGATGATAAAATCCAAAATGTTTACTCTGGTTGGAGAGAGGCAAGAGGCTAGGGTAGGAGAGAAACACGTGTTGAACCAGGATTCACAGTGGTGCATTATACCTTACTACCAACATACAATGTTATGAATATGTATCAAATAATATCTAAAAAGATGATGAGGGCTTCCCTGATGGCACAGTGGTTGAGAATCTGCCTGCCAGTGCAGGGGACACGGGTTCGAGCCCTGGTCCAGGAAGATCCCACATGCCGCGGAGCAACTAAGCCTGTGCACCACAACTACTGAGCCCAAGCTCTAGAGTCCACGGCCACAACTACTGAAGCCCATGCACCTAGAGCCCGTGCTCCACAACAAGAGAAGCCACCGCAATGAGAAGCCCACGCACTGCAACGAAGAGTAGCCCCCGCTCGCCACAGCTAGAGAAAGCCTAAGCGCAGCAACAAAGACCCAACGCAGCCAATTAATTAATTAATTAATTAAATTTTTAAAAAGATTACGAAAACTTAGCGTATCTTTCATTTAACACAGTATTGATTTATCTGTAAATAACTCATTTCTACATCCGTATATAATAACATTTTCAGTGTTTAAAAATATTCTATTAATAATATAGTCAAAAGATTTTGCATATCTTAAACTAATATTTAATCATATACATCCACTAATTAATTTATTCAGTAGCTACTTATTAAGCATCTAAAATAGATCAGCCACTATTTTAGAAATAGGGGATCAGAAAGTGCACAAACATGCATGCCTCTTTGCTATGAAGGGCTTCACATCATCATGATAAGTAGAATTCGACTGAGGATATTACAGTATTTAAATATCTCGTTAGAAGTCATAGAAGAATTGCATTCTGTTACAGCTGTTAAAATTAAGCATTAAATATAAATTCAGGTAATAAAATTCTTCCTCCGGATTCATGAAAGGTTCTTCACTCTCTTGTGTAGCCTCTGATTTAAAAACACTTATTTGAATTTATGAAATTTACAATAATGAAATTTGTGATAATTATGGGAAGGCTAGCCAGAAAAATATTGCCATTAATCTGAAAATGTTTAATCTTTTTTTCTAGCATTAGCTTTGAGATATTATAACAAATAGTATCTAGTATTTTTTTTCCACTGAGAATATTATTAAATTTTTTGCAGGGTAAACTTTTAAAATCATGAGGATTCCCAAATGTTTTTGCATTTCTTCATTTGCTTGTGAACAATAATGCCTCATTAATTTTAATGACTACTCTTAATTTTAGTGTTCAGTGTGAACCTAATTGATCATGTGTCCCAATAGAGAGCAGCAAAGAAATCATTAAATCCAAAAGAAATTTGACAGATTGTGGAGAGATAAGTGCTTTTATCTTTGTGGAATAAGACACATTTCAGAATATGTACTTTGAAATATTGTTAAAGGTTTGGAATTTTTTATTCCAAACTTCTGATTTTCACTGTTCTCTCAAATAATATTTCTGATGAGTGTAATGTATTTTATTTAAAGCTCATATGTGATGCTATTAAAATCTTTGATACTTGTTTTTAAATATGCAAGATATTTCTTTTCAGTTTGCGTCAGTTTTGTCTTTCTTGTCTCAGTGTCAACTACAGCTGCAGTTACTGCCAGAAGGCTAGTGCTGGGATGCTAAGACTTTTACACAATCATTTGGGGTTTTTTTGAGGTACTGCAGGCCTGTCTGAGTGATTTAATATCTGTTATAAAGTTAATTATTCCTTGATTTTTGAAGCCATATCCTGTTGTTGGCCTTTGCTTTGTTTGTTGTTTGCAGTGGCTGTTTCTGAATTGACTTTGATGTAAGTTCATTGGCTCTGCAAACATTTACTAATATTTGACTCTGTGAAGGGATTGATTTGTGTTTTTGAGCATTTGCCATCAGCTTCTTAGACTGTGATCCTTACTGCTCTACTCCCATTGTGAGATATGATTTCCAAAGGGTTCGTGACATTTCTTGACTGGTTGGTGTGCAGTTTAGTACTGAATGCAAACAACACAGAGATGTGCTTGTTTTAAAGTGTACTTTCTGGTATGATCCTTAAGCTCCATTTAAAAGTACACCAATATATTGTTTTGGCTTTTTTGAAATTTTAGAACAGCTCTGGTAAGTAATTCGTAATGGTTAATCCATTTACTAATGATGCATCTGCATTGCTACTGGCACTTAACAGTCTTCTATAAAAGGGTTTTTCTGATTTTAACTTGTTTTAGCATGTTAAATATACCTAATTATCTATTTTCCCACAATATTGCTAAAAGCTCTGGATTCTTGTCCAGAGAAGGAATATTTTGTAAGTATATAAACAAATAATGAAAATGGAAAGAACGACAATTTGTTTTCATTTTGTCCTTAATGAATTTCGTTTTCCAAATAACATTTTACTTCTTTAATATGACTTTCTTTTTATAATAGATAACTGCCTACAATAGGCGTACCTTTGAGACTGCAAGGCATAATTTGATAATTAATATAATGTCAGCAGAAGGTAGGTATGGAAAAATATGTTGCTGATTGTTTCCTTATTTGCAAGAAGTATTTCATTATATTTTATATGTATGTAAGACATAGTTAAGGATTTTAAAGGACCACATACCTACTATAACTAATGAAATAGTAAAATGTAGAAAACTAAACAATATTTAATTCATTATAAAATATCACGATGTGTTTTGGTGCTGAAAACCTCAGGGTAGGGAACCAAATGTAGAGGCCACTTATTTTCTCCAGGCCTTGGTTAAATCATCTGTAAAGTGAGACTAAGAATACTATTTCTCTCATAAGTCTGAGGTAAGGATGCCATCATTTAAGTCTCAAAATGTGCTTGACATAGGGCTGATCATAGAATGCATGATTGGTATTATTTTACTTTCAAACCTATCATCGGTGGTAGTTTGGTTGTATGTGATGATAAAGAGTTGTTGATGGACAGAAATAAACCATAATTTGGGTCACAGTCTCCTTTCTAAATAGCTAATCATGCCTCTGTAATTGCTGGAGTCCAACAACAATTTATTGTTACACATGCTTGAATTGTAAGTGATGCCTAAGGATTTAGAAGGTTAGGGACACAGGAGAGATTCCAAGAATTACACTCTCAAATATTCTGATCCTGTTTTGGCATTCAATGGGAAAAATACATACCACTAAACACTTTGTGGTTAAAGTTTATAAATCATGGGATACTATACCAGATATCATTTATGAGGGTGACAGGAGAAGAACTGATACAGCATTTTTCCCCCCAAAACAGTAAAACAGTTGTGCATCCTGGGTAGGAAAATTCTTACTTCTATTTACTAGTATGATCGAAAACAAATAAGCAAACACAACACATTTTATCAGAGCCTACTAATTTGGAATTCATAATAATTCAGTAAAGGCTGAGTTAAAAATTACCTTTACAGTATATGAAAGAAAGCAATTTCGATAGAATTGATAATGCAGTACATAATTGGGGAGAAGATTGCTGGAAGTTTTTGAAACCCTTAGCATGAGTTTTTTTCCCAGGCATTTTAGCTGTAATAATTGCAGACAACAAATGTGCTAGTTTAAAATTTAAAATGACCTTCATACATGAAAAGAAAGTCCAAGTACCAGTTCCTTTGGCCTGGACAGAAGACTCTTTACCCACTTTTCTACTTCCCAAGGGCTTTTGGAAGGTATTCGTGTTTGGATCAAGGAGATTTTTATTCTTGACTCCAATTGTAATTGGATACTTGTATCCAGTCCAAGCTGTCCTTGTAGAATTTGGAATACCTTTAATGAGCAGAATGGTTGCGAAGTTCCCTTTCTCCTTGGGAATCCATCAGTTTAGTTATATACTTCCATTGCAGTGGGCTTGGACCACTAACCTCACTATTATGCTCTCAGAGGGACTCAAAACCCTTTGTCAGGTATGGGAGCCCCTACAAACTGAAAGATAGCCTGGTCTACAGTTTTGAATCTCCTCCTTCTCAAGTCTGGTCTCAGTCCTGTCAATACAGAGTACACAGGCATCTGTCAATACAGAGTACATGGGTCCACACACATGTACTCAATACATAGTACACATGTGGGGACCCATGTTCAAGCAGATACTAATGTAAGACTGTTAGATGACTGAAGGATTGAAAGTTGGCATTAGGGGCTACTTATTTAAATCAGGGTTGAGGGAGCACGAGTACGTGTGTTTTGAAAGCCTCCTTTTACATAAGGGTCAGTGGCCCAAACTCTGAAAATCAGTGCACCAAATGGCAGGCATTTTTCCTTGCTTGTCTCGATGGAATGCATGTGGACACTAGGACGTACATCTTTGAGCATGGCCTGTACACATGCCGTTTCTCCCGGATAAGGTTAGGAAAGAAGTAACAAGGGTTGAATATCCAGATAACCATGCTCGGTGCAACTCCCTGCCCAGCAGTCTCCTGCTCCGGGAGACCTAATGGGAAATTAGTCATGTAGAATCATACAGCATGGAGCTCAAGGAGAGTACATAGAGTGATTCTCTAAATTGGGTTTAGTGCCTCAGAGGCCTGCCACCAATCTGTTGGCTACTGTTCCCTTGGCCTCTGTGATATCCAAATATAGCAGGCACGGGATTTCCCCAAAGTTAGAAAGCTACTGTGACTCATCTCTGGGAGGCCTGGCAGCAGCACTTGGCCGGGTAGACGGCAGGCAGCTGCACAGCCTGGAGCCTCGGAGGGCGTGGCGGCCGCAAGTCTCAGAAAGGAGCCACGGAGGGTCACATGGATTAGGGAAAGCCAAGTAACAGTTCTCCAAGGAGTAGCACTGATAATAAGGAAAAAGTTTTGCACGCTTTTTTAGAAAAATTTCACTGAATGAAATTAATAGATGATAGACTTCTAGCATACCCAAAAACTATACTTGGTATTATTTATAAATATTATTTATTGCCAAGAAACTGTTCTTCATGACATTTTTCTGCATGACTGTTTCTCAGTATGGGGAAAAATGTAGCATGATTAAGCTCCTGTTTATCTGTATAAAACAGGAAACGTATCAGTATAAAACAGGAAGCTTATCTACATAAAAGAGAATAAACATAGCATATTTTAGAAGATTGCAGATGGGCTATACATCAAACATATCTAACAAAATCATAAGCAGAATAAATTACAGGGTAGGGGATGAGTAAAGAGCCTTCTGTGATTAGGGCTTTGAAAGACTTATTCTTTAGGGAGAGACACCACACTCCAGAAAACTCTCCTGAAAACTCGAAAGCCAGAATATCTCCTTGATTTCATCTCTGGCATCAAATGTCCTTTAATATTAAAGAGGCTTGATAATAAATGAAGTCATCAAGGTTTCAGTTATTTGTCGTATAATTTTAGTTTTAGTTTATTAAATAAGAATGGAATAGTACATGAGATAAAAATAGTATAAGAAATAAGAACATATAGTACATGAGTTTTAATGAAATAAGTCAGAGGATATACATAATATAATTATTGTTGGGGACTTTAAATCCGTGTATAGTCCAGACGTATTTTTTTTCCTTTTAAGTAAAGTGCAGAATCCAAGTAATTGTGCATATTATTGTAAGAATTGCTAAAGTTTACCATTTTCTCAGTTCTTACTCTATATTGGGAGCTCCATTGAGCACTTTATATATATACAGTCTCTTTTAGCTTAGATGAAAATCATATGAGGTAAATTCAAATGATCGAAAGATCAGCTTCTCTTTCTGAACCTATGGAGAAAAATACAAGTACCTGCTTACCTTCTGCTTGTGAGAGTTAAATACGGTAATTCACCTCTTTCCCTTAGCTTGGCCTGCCTCGTAGTAAGTATTAAAAAAAAAGTAGCCTTTATTCTTACAGAAATATTACTAAACAAAAAGAAAGCTATCCTTTGTCTTAACAGAACAACCAGAACACAGGAAATGATAGTTTGTAATTGAAGAGTAACATTTGAGAAGCTGAAATAAATTATATTTATTTAAAGTTTCTTATATTGAGAGTCTGAATGGGACATTGGGTGGGTTTAAAATATTCATTTTGGCATCTTTAGAGGGAAATTACTGATGAGACATTGGGGACGGAAAAAGCGAACTCAATCTCTAACAATGTGAGGTATGGAATTTCATGAGAAATTTAAAATATTATTTCTCTAGAATATTTAATTATGGAGTGATCCAAAAAATGAAATAGCTATGATTTCAAAGTTCTTGTTGAAAATACAGTCAATATTTATTTTAGTAAAATGTGATGTTTTAGCATGCTCTAAAAAGATCAGTAACACTGCAAATTAAAAATATGGCTTTCCATATCATATATAAGCAACGCACAAGCAAGTATAGATATTTTGCCATGTCTTCTCTATTTAGAAAGGATGGTGCTGTGTTCAGCCTCCTCCTTTGTTCAAATGGGAAATAGCACTACCTAGGATTGTAACGATTAAATTAAACAATGTATTTGAAGATCTGTCAGCTTGAAAACACTACAAGTACAAAATACTTTTCTAAGTTCTGGAAATGCTCCTTCTACCTGAGTACATTGACAGGACAAGGAGGCCGGCAGGTCGCTGGCAAGTTAGTGACAGATTTGAGATTTGACATTTTTTTCTTGTCCTTTTTATTTTTTTTCTCTAATTGTGAATTGCCCTGCTGTCCCTTAGATTTGAGTGCATTGTAGATAAAGTTCTGGGTCTAATGTACGTCGTGTTTTTAGATATATCCTCTGTTATATAGAAAGCCTTTAAAGTCAGTAATAATATCGTTCCCAGAAGCCAGGATTGTGACAGAAATCAACAAATCTCAAATGGTTCTTTGTTTCCCTTTCAAAAGACTACTTCATTAAAGATATGCATACCCTTCTTCACCAAAATTAGACTTCCCGTTACCGTATCAAGCAGAATTCTTCATTAAAAATATGAACGTAGAAGAAATGTTGGCCAGCGAGGTTCTCGGAGACTTTCTTGGGGCCGTGAAAAATGTGTGGCAGCCAGAGCGTCTGAACGCCATAAACATCACGTCAGCTCTAGACAGGGGCGGCAGGGTTCCGCTTCCCATCAATGACATGAAGGAGGGGTAAGCAGACTTACCTTAAGTATGGATTTTTAAATATGGTGATCTTATCCAACTTATTATAGATGGAAGATGGCCTATTGCATTTTTCTTTTTAATAAGAAATAGTTATTGTAAAGATATGAAAAAACTAGCAGTTTTCTGTATTGACAAAGAGATTTTATATCTGATGTTCCAGGTCCTGTGAAATCTAATCATAGATGAGGATCCACATCATAAATTACAGCACTAAGTCTTTTGTACCTTCCGTAGAGAAGCTGTTTATTTAGGGTCCTGAATTTCAAAGGAAGTTGATGCCCCGGTTATCAGCTGCAGAAGGATGTACAGACTGCTGTAACTTTATTCTAGGAAACTATTTCTTCGCCTTTAACATTCTTTCCACCATGTGTTGGTGATTGATGGCTGGGCTGGATTTGAAACCCATTCCTAAAGCCTGGCCTTGTCACTCACAAGCTGGGTGACACTGGGCAAACTGCTGCACTCCTCTGGGCTTCAACTTCCTCATCTGCTCCAATGGGGACTATACTCTCTCCCTCAGGGTTGTTGTAACGATTAAACGAGACAATGCATTTGAAAGGGACTTGTCTATTCTCAAGCCTTACAGATTCAGAGTATGACTTACATTCTTATAGAGGTTATGAAACACTCCTTATGCCTGGGTACATTGACAGATCGAATCTCAGTGTCACATGAAATTTTGCTGTTTAATTTCTGTTCCGTAAGTTGAGGCAGATCTGCCTTTTTAAAAACCAATCCTATAAATATGCGAGATATGGAATAAATCACATTTTATGTAGCATGTCCTTTTCCAACTCCTCCTTTATCCATATTCTTGGTAACATTTATACAGATGATATCTGGAATTAACTGGAATATCTGGGTTAATAAGAATCAAATTTAAGGGAAACTTTAAAGGAGAACTTTGTTGGAGATAAGGGAAAAGATCACAATAGATGAGGTATGAGCGAGTAGTCTGAAGGGGGATAAAGGATAAGCAATGAGCTGCAAAGTCTAAGTTACAAATTTCAGAATTCAATTGTACCTTGTATGGTACAATAATGGATTTTGAAGTCAGTCAAGCACACATAGAAGTGCTTGGAGGAAAATAGTTGCTTTATCGCTTGCCTATCATCTGCTGGTTGGCTTTCTCTATGAAAACATAATTCTGGAGCTTAAAATTTTACTTGAGAGGTACAACATGGATCTCTTTCCCAATGAGTAATTGAAGGAGGACCATAGAAGGAGATGAACAGGGGTATCTCCCCTGAAGACATTCTCCAAATGTGGAATCTTTTCAACAGGTTTTTAAGGTAATGTGTTCCACAGTGATTGTTAAAACAATGACCAAAGATGTTGGAGGAAACAACATGAAAACCAGGTATTGGTAGAGTTTTCCATAGTTGTGCTTTCTTCTGGGCTCACCGCTTCTCTAACCAGTAGTGTAGACCCCACCCGTAGAGGCACTTTAAGAAACAACTAGGCTAAATTGAACTAACAGCTCTCTAAACTAAACTCTGACCTAAAACAGGGCTGCACAGCTATGTCTAGCCTGAGAATTGCCAGTAGAGCTTTATGAAGAATATACCTAGGTTCCTGGCCTCTGATTCCCCCTAGAGATTCCGGATCTTTGAGTCTAGGGCTGGGCCTGAGCATGTGACTCTAAATTAAGAACAGAATTTTTTGTCCTACAAGTACTTGTTGGAGAATTCAGTCATTAGCTGACTGACCCCCAACACCTGCTAGCGGGAGGCATGTGCTGTCAGTCCCGTGGCATTTATTTGGACCCTGTTGTCTCAGATCCTTTCCCAACTTGAAATGCTTTCCATGAGTTTTAATTTAATGTTAAGCCGCAACCTTTACAGAGTATTCATATAATAAGTCTTTTAAAATAGATTTTCTATAAATTATACCCAGTGCCAACTCTGTTACTCCAGTGTCCCTATATGTGCACCAATGAAATAAGATCCTACTGGAGTATAATTGCAAGAGAAAAATTTGTCCCTGGGAATGATTTTGCATATTTTCTTTGGTTATTACATAATGTCAAGGTAACAAAAATAGGGTTTTTTTTTTTACGCTGTTGCCTTCAATTTAGAAATAAATCCAGTGCTTAACTCATCTCTTGTGCTTTCCTTTCTTTGTAATGGTGTATGTTATGATTCTTGATTCACTTACAAAACTTTTTGCCTCTGTACTTTGTTTTGAAAATAACATGGACTATAAATCTCTTTAAAAATGAAATATTGAGGGCTTCCCTGGTGGCGTAGTGGTTGAGAGTCTGCCTGCCGATGCAGGGGACACGGGTTTGTGCCCTGGTCCGGGAAGATCCCACATGCCGCGGAGCGGCTGGGCCCGTGAGCCATGGCCGCTGAGCCTGCGCATCCGGAGCCTGTGCTCCGCAGCGGGAAAAGCCACAACGGTGAGAGGCCTGCATACCACAAAAAAAAAAAAAAAAAAAAAAAAAATTGAAAAGATTGAGGGTGGGATCAGAGGTGCAAAGGAATTGCATCCCTTTATTTTCTAAAATTTTATTTAAAAATATATTTAGAAGTGTTAATTAAACACCTAATAACCGTGTTCTGCTTAATATTTTGCATAAGTCTCAGTCTCTGATTAAAAAAAGAAAAAACTCCTCGAAAGTATTTCCTATTACGCACGGCAGCCACAATTTACTAACTGCAAACTTTTCCATGTTACTCAAACCAACAGCAGAAGACAAAGAGGAGCTCTCAGTAGTAGACCCTCAGAGTAAACCAACAGCCCTTCCACGGCCCAGAGTGCCCTTAAGTGTCAGTCGTCAAGAACCCCCTCTACAGCATCCCAGCTCCTCATCCTTCTTGATGTGCATTTTTTTCATCTCTGTCGACCTCACTGACAGCCTTTAAACTTCTTCTAAATCTAACAGAAAACAATTATAAAGATTTCCTTCAGAGTGAGTAAGCTCCTGCAAAGGAACCCTAAACCTCCTGAAAAGATTCCCTTTCACTTTCCAGACCCATAACCTCAGGGCAACTGTGCTCTCTCTGGGTGTGGTCTCAGGGCTGCTTTGCTCTTGACACTGAGCCAGAGGCTAAGGACTCATGGATGCATTTAGCCTGGGATAAAGCTGGTGGGAAGAGGAGCAGGTTCATGTTTCATTCTGGGCATGGCAGAGCTGCCAACTTAGGGTGAGTGATGCGGTGTAAATGGTGGTTAGGAAGGGAATGACGGGGTGTGAGGATTAAAGAATATACTCACTTTTCATAAGAGATTGTCAAAGCTACCACTGTTTCCTCTGGTTACCAAAGCCTGTGGATCTATCCTCAATCAACAACAGAGGATCCTAGTTTATTCTCTAGACAATCTCACAAAGTACTCCCTCTAATTAATTGTCTGTGTTTTGCCCTGTAAAGGGCTCAGGGAGAAGTTACACGTGAAGAAGAGAATGTAAGTCAAAGGCTGCCAAAGACTGCTGTGATGTGAGGTCATGGTCCTAGGCCAGTCTGTAGTGCTCTGCTGAATCTGTCCCCATGTTTGGTGATTTACAAGATAGTCTTTAATTCTTTTTTTTTTTTTTTTAGCGGTACGCGAGCCTGTCACTGTCGTGGCCTCTCCCGTTGCGGAGCACAGGCTCCGGACGCGCAGGCTCAGCGGCCATGGCTCACGGGCCCAGCCGCTTCGCGGCATGTGGGGTCTTCCCGGACTGGAGCACGAACCCGTGTCCCCTGCATTGGCAGACGGACTCTCAACCACTGCACCACCAGGGAAGCCCAGTCTTTAATTCTTAAACAACGTGCCTCCTGTGTTTTTGATGCAACTATTCTTTCTTTTAGGGAATGATGGTGATATGAGATTGGAATTTTTTTAAAAAAGGCTTAATAAAGTAAAAATTGGAAGCCAATATTAGTCGATTTTTATAAGTATAAAAATAAATAACTTTTAAAAGTCAATGCAGCTATATGTCTAAACTATATGTCTATAACTATATTTCTTTAATATCTGTTCTTCTAAGTTCTAGGCATAGATTCACTTTTTTTCTTTCATAGTTTAGCATTTATTAAGTATTTTTTATGGGGGAATAATGTATTAGTCTCTAGGGTACAGTGATTTTAAAGAATGCAGTCTATGCTCACATCTATTAGGGACCAGGCAAGTAATCAGATAATTAGAAAGCAGTGTTGTACCTATCACAGTTGAGGTATTCACAGAGACGGCTCCTCTCCCACTTCTGGTCCATGTCAAAGCGTTCATAGAGGAGATGAAACCTGATCTGAGTTTAAAATATGAGTACAAATTAGCCAGCTCAAAAAATGAGAAAGCGAGAGTCTAGGCAGAGGAACAGCTTGGGCAAAATCCATTAGGTAGGAGGAAGCCTGGTCAATTTGGAAACCTACTTTGTGTGGAAATGGGGGACAGGGATCCAGAAATGATAATGACCAAAGAGGCAAAGACCAGACCATGTAAGGCCTTGTACACCTGGAAGAATTGTTTGGGTTTTTATCTTGAAGCACTAGGGACGTTTGAAGAAAATGGTTTGTATTAAAATTTTCATTTTAGCAAGTAGGCCTGCTAAGCCCTACCACATGGCTGAAAGAATAGACCAAACCTAAATGCCTCCTTTCTGCAAGCAGGAAAATCCTCCCACAAAAAACTCCAGAAAGGTCTGAGCCTTGTGTGCCAGTTCCCTCTTTTGTTAAGATAATTCATCCCTTCTCCAGTAAAGATGAGTAACAAGCAGTGGAACTAGAGTCCAGAAGTGACCTTATTCTTTGTTTTATTTCTTATTCTGAATTAGATTCTTTATTTAGTTTTGTTTCTTCTTTATTTTTCATCTTAGTTTTTGATTGACTGATATGCACAGAACAAAGAAGTGGGGTGGAGCAGAGAGGCAGGAATCATGATGCATTTTCTTTCAAGAGCTCAAGAGTTCCCAGGCAACATGTAGCATATGCGGACACTTTCTTCTCTAAACTGTCCCTTGTCTCCTATATACATAAAATAAGGAATAAAATACATTCATTACT